GCCAACGCACAACACCATGGATGGGGGAAACAAACTCAAAACAATAGCACACCATATTTTATTTCACTCTTCTTATTTCCAAGAGTTGCTGTAGCCTGTGGCATGAATGGGGACCGTTTGAGGGTATTGATTGTTGGTTTGCTGTTAGTTCTACTCTGGCATGTGGGTATTGTAAATGCAGCATTTTTCACAGACTGGGCATTTGTTTCCCCTTGCTGGAGGGCAGCAAGATCCTGAGCTCTATTGCTCTCTCAGTCAAACTGTCCACCTGTTTGTAACACTTGTTGTCATTGGGGAGCGACTGCTGTTACAGAGTATATTAAAGCAGCAGAGAAATTGATCAGGAGGTTCCTGTAGCCATAACATGGCTTGCCACTTTTATTGGATGGAGACAGTGAAGAAGAGAAAGGAAATTATTGGGGATTGAGACAGGGATGGGATAGGGTCTGCTTGGATTCAAATCTGTGTGAACATCTCAACTCAGCATTAGCAGTAACTGCAAGGCCATGGCTCTGTGCTAACTGATGCTTTCAAACAAAACTTGGTCCCTATTCAAATTCATATTCAAAATCTTTGAAAAGCTGGATGGACACTCTGTGGCAAAGGTGCCAGATCATGCTCCTGGAAGGCCTCCTGTAACATGGTCTGTAGATACGGGAAGAAGGAGGTGGAAACCAGCTCAACTTAACCCTCTGGGGTCTGAGGGGGTTTTTGGGGTCCTGGAGAAGTTTTGAAATGCCATAACAATTGTGCTTTTTTCAGTTTCTCATAAAAATATTAATGGAAATAAAGTTTGTGTGTAGTTAGTGGACGTAAACTTTAATTTCCAAATGAACACTAAAATAAAACAAGTGCACAAAACATAAAATGTCCCAGGCCAAGCCCTCTCTCTTCCTCCATTTTTGTCACTCCTCCTTACATCCTTCCAGAGCTCCTTCATGGAACTCAAGACCGGTGTGGCATACAGGTGAGTTTGAGCAGGGTTGGAGCTAAACTCTGCATACCAGTGGGCCTCCAGCTCCAGGGCCTGATTTGATTAACCCTGCCCTATAGCAGGATTGGGCGCCCTTGCCCCGGAAGACCTCCGTTCTACAGAGTTCAGCTCCAACCCCAGCTAAACACACCTAAACTTGCTAATCAGAATTAGAAGAATTAGAAGAAACTTCCAAGCAGGTGTGGTGGATCTAAACTCTGCAGGAAAGTGGCCTTGAATTGGACAAATTGGACACCCCTACTTTACAGTTCCACAGTACTCAAAAAATTTGCTTTGGTTGAAAGGACGAGATCTCTGTGAGCATCTGAAATCTTTCAGCCCTCGTTCTATACATAATGTTTAATTAAATTTTGTCGTGTGGATCTTCATTCATACCTTGTTTGGGACAGGAACGCATTGCATCTCCATACTGTAATGAATCAATGCGTTTATGTCTTCAACTGCCTCATCTGGCAGAAGATAAGAACTGCTTGAGATGTGTTCTTTGAGGCCGTGGATAATTGTATTTCATGGAATTGCTCATGATGTTCCTCAAAGGTTCAGCTGTGGGTTAGCAGATCTTTTTAATCTTTCTTTCCTCCAATGGGTTGCTACGAAAAGTTGCTATATCTTTTTCTTCATCTAATAACATCTTCAAACTAAAGTAGAATCCTCTCTAAAGTGTAATACCTTGTTCTAATCAGTGACCCTATTTCGGCAAGATGTGGACATGTGAATACATCTATTTAAATGCTAATGCATTCATGTGGATATACGTTTGTAGACGTCTTGATAGGTAATGCTAAGAAGCACTACAGGGCCCTGCTTTAGCCAGTCTGAAACACTCCCGAGAGTCGACAGTCCCTTCGCAGAACTACCCCGAGAGTCGAGAGTCCCTTCGCAGAACTACTTATTAAGAGTTTCTCTTTGATGGTCCTCAACCCTGGAGGTTTGACCACCTCTTCTGAACAGATCAGAAGTGTTAAGCAGCTTTTTCCTCAGCCCAGAGAGAGAGAGAGAGGGGCTCAGACTTATGGTTAATAATACAGGACACATTTCTGAGCCAATTCTGTGTGTTTGTGTACTGAATTTAATGTAAGTAGAGGGTTGAATTTAATACTACACACAGTCGTCATGCAGGACTATAATGGCCCTGAGCAGTCAGAGACTTAAACAACAGGAGAGTTAGTTCAGCCCCGAGGGCTCAGAGTCTGTAATGCCAGCAGAATCAGAGCGAGTGTGCTTCACTTAAGCTCCCAAGATGGTGAATTATAGTCTCCACCTTCATCCTGTGAAGATGCGGCTTTTTGTTTATGGTTCCCCTGTAAGTATTGATGTAAACCCTCTATCTGCTGGCAAGCATTATATAGAGATGGGAAATGAAGGAGAGATTGGATGGAAGGAATGCTTGTTTAGGTTTCACTTGAATAAACCGGAGTCAGATGGGCTTGCAGGTTGCAATGGATGCTTACAAGCAGTGCGGACAGACATGCTATCAGTTATAGCTCTTTGCCGCTGTAGGGTAGTATGAAGGCAGCAGATTGCCTGTTCGCTCTGTTGCCTTTGCGATCCAACAAGCTCAAACATATGCTTTTTGCTTTCTTTTGGCATATGAATGCAGCATGTACACACAGATGTTTAGTTTCTCTTCATCTACCTGTACACACGCCTTTAGAATTAAGCAGAAATCTCTCCACTGATCAAGTGAGCAAAGGAAGGATGTTAAGAAGTATCAGTTAAAGAAAAATAATATGTATTACCATGCTTTTTTTTTCAGGGAAAGTGTAATTACTGGAATAGTAACTGATTAAAATGAACAGAAGGTCCAAAGTAAAGGATACATTTGTTTACACATTGCATTTATCATAATTTTTGAAAAATATAATACTGTATATTATATATCACCTTGGTTTGTTTTTGTTGTTTGGTTTGTTATTTTTAAATCAAAATCAAAAAATGTGAGACCTGCTCCTGAAGAAACGATACTCAAATTCTGTTTCAACCAGTATACAGAGGTTGTGTGATCTCTGTGCTCCAAATCATGTCTGAGGTTGTTATCCACTACTGAAATTGGGGTATTGTGAAATTCACATCAAAGTGAGGTTTTTTTTCCCCTCACTTTTTTCTCTCTCTTTGTAGGTAACATCAACGAGTGCACACTGAATTACTACTTCTTCCTCCTGGCCGCCATTCAGGGAGTCACACTCCTCGTCTTCCTCATTGTGTCTGTGAAGTATGACAAGCAGAAGCCCAGAGCAGCGAGCCACAGGGCGTCTCTGACCAACTCATGACCCCCATCATCCTCACCAGCCTTACACAGCCGTACGTTCACCTTCATTCCTCAGCCACCAAATCATTTGCCAAATATTAAACCTCGCAGTATTTAAAAAATGAGGTTTTAAAATATTTGATTCAAAACTTGAAACCCCCTGTTTACTGGAACTGGCTATTCTCTTGCCATTTTAAACACGCAAGACAATTAAAAAAAAAAAGAAAAGAAAGCAATAATTAGCTAAAGAAAAAATTTCATGTGAAATGGTTGGAAATGAGGTTTGTCCACTCCATCAGTGAACTGGATTATGAAATGTGTGTTTGTTGTAGTGTATACTTTGGGCAACACTTGTTCCAAATTTGGGATTTTTGTTGTTTTGACTATGTCAATGAGATTTACAAATTCACCTACTCATAAAATGAATGTGGTTTTTAAATTGTTTACGATGGGTTGTACAATTGATCATTGGTTTAAATTGAATATTTATTGAACCTTTTATTTTCATAGTTTATGCTCGACAGGGTAAGACAATACTTTTGTTCAGATTTATTTAAAATTGTCCCTCTGGGCATGTTTTATGGTACACCTTTTTTAAACACAATTTTAACAATACTTTTTAAACATTTTTTTCCCTTCTCCTTTATTTCAGGCACCCTTTGCACTGTATTGTGTATCTTTGGTCACTTTATTTATTTAAATTTGAAATAGTTACTAATTGGCTCTATTTTTTATGCTGTTGATGCTAATTGGCTGATGTCTAAAAGGGCAAATATGGTTGGCTACTCATTTCAGATGGTAGCCAATAAATTGCATACAGAATTCATGCAGAATTTTCACATTATCAAACATCAGTGAAGTAGTTGATAAAAACTGCAGTGCAAAAGATTATTATTATTATTATTAAGAATCACATTGTCCTTAACAGTTTGATTAACTTTGTAACTTTGGTACTAGACCTGTGGCATTACAAGTGTTTCTCACTTTTAGATATTTTATCAGGCATTAGATTTCTACTAGCTTGTTTTTAATGATTTTGATCATAAGTGGTAAGGCCAAGCAGTCCATTGCTCTTTATAGTGGTTATGATATGAGTGTATCATCTGAGAAATTATGAATTTGCACAAGAAGTGCTGATATCATGAAGCACACAGCTCAGCTGACGTCTTTACAGCAGGCATATCTGAATATGAATAGTGTTGCCTTTGGAAACACCTGCGTCTTGTTTGTAATAATTCATGACCTTTTTAGATTTGTATTAGGATTTTTGATAAACAACAAACCTCAAGCGCAGATTTTCATCTGAATGAGGTAGTGAATGTAGTGAAATTACATTAGCACTAATCTCTAGTGAAAAATAACATGTTTATAATTGAGTATACAGAATCATGAATTTTACATGCAGGCTTATGATACATCCTATAAAAACGTATACCTCAGCTTCATAATGTCATCATGCTGTAGAAGGGCGTCT